AATCCTGGAGTAACATGATTAATGATCTTACTCTGGTACCACACAATCCTGGAGTAACACGACACTAATGACTTTACTCTGCTACCACACAATCCTGGAGTAACATGATTAATGATCCTACTCTGCTACAACACAATCCTGGAGTAACATGATTAATGATCTTACTCTGGTACCACCACACAATCCTGGAGTAACATGATTAATGATCCTACTCTGCTACAACACAATCCTGGAGTAACATGATTAATGATCTTACTCTGGTACCACCACACAATCCTGGAGTAACATGATTAATGATCCTACTCTGCTACCACACAATCCTGGAGTAATATGATTAATGATCCTACTCTGCTACGACACAATCCTGGAATAATATGATTAATGATCCTACTCTGGTACCACACAATTCTGGAGTAACATGATTAATGATCCTACTCTGGAACCACACAATCCTAGAGAAACATGATTAATGATCTTACTCAGGTACCACACAATCCTGGAGTAACATGATTAATGATCTTACTCTGGTACCACACAATCCTGGAGTAACATGATTAATGATCTTACTCTGGTACCACATAATCCTGATTTGTTCTTCCAGCCTGAACCAAAGAAAAGCATCACATAGTGAAGCAGCCCGGGGATCTACACCAACATCCTCTTTGTCCATGCTACCTCCTTCCTCTACAGGATCGGGAAGAGAGCTTCCCTCAATTAGCAGCAATGAGTTCCGTGAACAGGAGAAAGTGTTTGACAAAATGTCTACCTCCACACCATCAAATGGATGGGGATGGAGAGCTAGTGAAGTACGAATCGTCCCTGTCATAACGAACACAGACTTGCAACCAGCACCTGACAAACCTCTACGTGTCACCAGATGTAACTGTCACACTGACTGTAACAGTTTTAGATGCAAGTGCAGGAACCAGAAGTTGAAGTGCATGTGACTAATGTAGAGAATCTGGAAGTACCAATTCAATACTGCTTGCTGATGATGAAGAAGTGTAAATTGTTGCCAAGCATGTAAACAATAGTTGCTGAATCAGACAGTGAGGGGAGCTTGGGGTATGGAAGATGTAATTCGATAATGGAACAGATACTTGGAGAAAGTTGGGGTCTGGAAGATTTAATTGTACAATGGAACAGATACCTGGAGAAAGTTGGGGTCTGGAAGATTTAATTCCATAATGGAACAGATACCTGGGGAACTTGAGGTCTGGAAGATTTAGCTGTACAATGGAACAGACACTTGGGATCTTGAAGATTTAATTGTACAATGGAACAGACACTTGGGGTTTTGGAGATTTATTTGTACAATGGAACAGATATCCGGGGAAACTTGGGGGTCTTGAAGATTTAATTGTACAATGGAACAGACACTTGGGGTCTTGAAGATTTAATTGTACAATGGAACAGACACTTGGGGTGTTGAAGATTTAATTGTACAATGGAACAGATATCTGGGAAAACTTGGGGTCTTGAAGATTTAATTGTACAGTGGAACAGATACCTGGAAAAACTTGGGACTATGGAGAGTTAATTCTACATATTGTGTTGTTGTTGTTTTTCAATTAGATTTCTTTCCGCCAAAATTTTGATACAAATTGTATTGAGTTTTGGTCACTACCATTATTACCTTTGTTGGAGGTCCTCTGCATGGTGAAATGACCTTGTCATTCCTTGCATTGCCTTTGTTGAATCCGGATTTAAGATTATTTGTATTATAGATATCGGCTCCCTCCATTTTTCAAGGAATTTACCCCAATATTAAGACTTTTGATAGGCTACAGAGGACATATTTCTAAATAGAAAGCAGTTGAAATATCTTCTGTTGCAATTAGTAATTGGTTTGGCCTGCTCGATTGGACTACTACAGGAGTTTCTCCTCTCTCTCCAATTATGGGGTCTTGTCTTATTACATTTGTTAGTACGCAGTTCAGGTACGATGACGCCATCCCTAATTTCGAACCACCGGCCAGCAGCAACCTCTGTTTTTCATATTTATTTAACTATTTAGTAATAACCTTCTTAAGTTCGTACAGATATTTTAATTAATTTCGAATTAGTTTCAGATGACAAGTTAAATTGATTTGCTAAAATTCTGCAATTATACACCAGATTGTTATCGCTTTCTGCAATTATACACCAGATGATTGTTGTTGCTTTCTGCAATTATACACCAGATTGTTGTTGCTTTCCGCAATTATACACCAGATTGTTGTTGCTTTCCGCAATTATACACCAGATTGTTGTTGCTTTCCGCAATTATACACCAGATTGTTATTGCTAGGCTGGTCTTTGAATGGCTGCCTTATTGAAATAGCGCCCAAGCTTTCAACGATACCTAGTCTGACTCCATGAAATATACATCCCTTTGTTACTTACATAGATTATCCGCGTTGAACAGAGCGCAGGTCGCCCGTTGTGTAGTTTTGTGCTTAAACAACAACAAAATCACAGTAATGAGTCCAAATATTCGCATTTACACTCTTTTCTTACATTTAGAATCCTGAGGCTGAGACAGTCTGGACTGGTCGATAAATGGATCCAGGAAGCTTTGGAGAGAGTTCGCAGAAACGACGATTCGTCTGAAGAAAGTTTGAAACGATCCCTGAAACTGACCGACCTGCAAGGAGCTTTTTATGTCTTGTTTATTGGCCATGGTTTAAGTCTTGCTGCATTTTTCACCGAGAAACTACATCGTCGCTGTCTTAAAAAAAAAAACTTTAAACATCTAGAAATGCACATTTTTGTAGACTGATCGCCATAGTGATCACAGCACGTTTATTACAGCAGTTTAGTAGCAGGAATTACATTTTTCACGGAAAAAACTAAAGCATAAAATTTCAGTTGTAGCAAGGCTTAGTGAATTACAGTAACCAGTTAATATTTATAGATGGCAGAATAAAGCTTTTGCGGATATTACCCACGGCGAGCTTTTGTTTCGTGTTTTCGTTCCCAGACGTACCCCTGTGGGACAGCGGTAAGTCTATGGACTTACAACGTTTTAAATCCGTGGTTCGATTCCCGCGGCTTCGCTCCGAAAGAAACAAACGTTCCCAGACT